CATGTAAGAGTAACTCAAGGTAGATGGAGTCTCACCTGGGAATGTCTCATCTTTCAGGGCCACTGAGCAATGCTGGAAGCACTCCATTTCAGGTTTCCTGCCCACCCCCCACCAAGATTTCTTTCTTTCTTTCTTTCTTTAGAAGAGAGAGACAGAGACGGTGAGACAGCCACACACAACTTCTATCAATCTGTTGATTCACTCCAAAAGTGGTTGTAATGACCAAGGTTGAGTCAGGCTAAAGCCAGAATCTTCTTTGGGTCTCCCATGTGCAGGGACCCAAGTACTTGGGCCATCTTGTGCTGCTTTTCTAGGCACATTAGCAGAAACCAGGCCCAGAGTGGAGCAGCCAGGACTCGAACCAGCATTGCAGCATAGTGGGCTCTAACCACTACACCACAGCGTCAGTCCCACAACATATTTTGAAGTGAATTCATGAAACACACAGGGTATGTTTTCCCTGTGAGTGGTCTGAAATACCTATTGCCTTTACCCTTCTCACTCCTATGTGGCCAGTGTGGTCCTTCAGCCAGTGCTTCTCATTTGGGTGAAAATTTGCCTCCTAGAGAGCATCTGGTGGCACAATGGTACTGATCAGCCTATAAGAGAACAGAATAAGAAAAAACCAAGAAGGATCTGTACTCACATGCCAAGGGTGCCGAGCCTGAGAGACCCAGCTCCAAACGTCTCTCTCTTCAGGCCTCTCCCCTCTGGAAATTCTATGCCTTGGTGCATAAAGCATAGTGCTTGGCCTGCCAGGACAGGCCCAAAAAGAACAAAGCAGATTTGGGGTATCATTAGCCTCCTCTCTCGTTGTGACGTTGGGGTTCGTGGTAGGAGCTAAATCAACCACCAGCTGCTCCTCCTGCTCCTCTTGCCTGAACTATGGTCAGGGAAAAGCTTCAAACTCTATTCAGAACAAATGGCTCTCAAGTCAATGATTAAGAAGCAAAATCTAACATACAAAATGATAAATGCACATTGAGAAGGGGGCAACGTTCCTTAGGGTACCCTGACAATGCTTTAATCATAATAAATCAAATCAAGTTCATTTCAGCTTACTTTTTTTTTACCCTAAAGACATAATTATAGATCCTCTCTACCAAGCTTTTGTCACCAGAACCTATGATAAATTGCCTTTTCTGTTTTCATTTGAGACACCCCTAAAAATGCAGACAAAATGGACTAATACTGATTAATTTCTTAACACTTTCCAGGTAAGACTGGCCCACAATGAGTCCATTTAACTGTAGTGTCCATTTTCTTACCTTATTGAAGAAAACCCCAGATTCAAATTGTTTTATTACTGAGTCCTACTAAACATTCAAGAAGCAGTTCATTCCTAGTTTTACTCAGGTCATACTAGAAAATTAGAGGCATATTTCTACTTATGTCATGTTAGTGTAATTCTTTTTCAAAAAGCTTTATTTATTTGAAAGTTACTCCCCAAATGGCTGCAACAGCCATGCCTAAGCCAAGGCTGAAGCCAGGAGCTTCATCCAGGTACTCCCACATCCAGTTACTCCCACATCCAGGTCTCCCACATCCAGGTACTTCCACATCCAGGTACTCCCCATGTAGCAGGGGTATAAACACTTTGGCCATCCTCCACTGCTTTTCCCAGACCATTAGTAGGAAGCTGCATCAGAAACAGAACATTTGGGACACAGCCTAGTGCCCACAGGGGATGCCCGCAGTGCAGGCAGATGCCTTACCCAATACTCTACCAGTCTGGCCCAAGCTAGTCTAATTCTAAAACAAACATTTCAGGGATAACCCATGACAATAAAATGATAGAAGCATCTTATTAATTCCTTTAAAAAAATTATCAAACTGATTATATCTTTGAGTTTTGTGTTTTATAAAGTGGCTGAGTTTGTTTATTCCAGGAATGGAGAGTGGTCTAATCACAGAAAATCTATTAATGTACCTCACCACTTTTAATAGATTGCAGGAGGAAGGAGTCAGATATGGATGCACAGAGGACTTCAAAGGAAGTGTTCTTTTTGCTGGAGGAGTGAGTATGCATTAGTTAGCTTTGTTGTGCACCAACCAAACACAACATTTCAGCAATACAAAATATGCATCTATTTTCATACAGCTTAGGATAAGCCAAGGGTCAGCTATTTCAGCTGGGCTCAGTTGGACAGCTCAGCTATTAAGCTTCAGGTCTGAGGGTCAGCTGGGTGACCACAGCCCACGTGGCTCTCACCAGGCTCAGATTAGCCATTGCCATGGCAATCCATAGTCCATCTTGTGGCAATGCCGAGTACTAAGAGAGTGCATTCTACAAGACCAAGCTGCTGCTTGCATCCTTGTTGCCATTATTCCATTTGGACAAAATTAACTCGAACTGATGAGTTTAAAATTAAGGCATGCTTTTTTAACTAAAAGGATACAAGGAGGAGCATGTCATTGGGGCCAATGACTCTGAATATTCCACAGGGCCACAGAGATATTTTCTTTAACGGGGTATGCACACGCGCATTAAAGTATATGTAATCTGCACATCACCTGGACTATGGCATGGATATAATATTTCATGTTAAACATTAATTAAACTCACACATCAAGTCTGTCAGGAGCCCTCCCTATTTCCTAGTTTCATAATATTAAGCAAAGAGGAAATGAAGGTGGTTTGGCCGGAATTACTCCTCGTGACTGTCTTATGCATCTTTTTTGCTTTTTATGCTTTCAACCTCTTCCAAGAAGAACTTTAAGAGGCTTCCAAAGCCCTAGGACAAAATAAGTCTTAGCAATATAACAAAATGAAGAAATAAGAAAATGAAGCCTCAATGGTGTGTTAGCTTATACTGTGGTTGAGTCAAGAAACTAGACAAGCATAATGGAGAAATAAGAAAGCAAGCCAATGGAGAGCCAAGCCAGAGGTTGCCAGAGCCAGATCCAGCCGGCGAGACATCAGCGCCTGCCTGCTTCCTCACTTCCTGTTCCTCTTGGGTCCTCCGTCCACACTTCTCCACATGATCCAGGCCTTCGCCTCGGCTCCCTGGGCTCCCGGCTTCTCCTTCGCTGTGGGTCTCCTTGGGTCCCCATAAGCCCTCTGCATTCTTGTTGACTCTGGCCTAGGGGCTCACTTCCTGTGACCCAGCCCTTGCTGACCCTTTTATCCCGACACACCTTTGTCACTAACTCCTTCATGAAACTCTCCCTCTTGGAAGTGCCACGTTTTCTGCCGAGAACCTGACACCATCTCATGCCTGGATTCTGGCCCGTGTGTGGGCCATCCATCAGCTCTGACGTCTCAGGGTCCTCGCCAGCAGCCGCTGAGCCACTCTGGACGCCAACACAGGTGCCTCTCCTGTGGTTTCTCCCTGAGAGGGCACTGGGTGCAACAACTTGCTTCTCTGACAATCCAGCTCCATCCCACTCAGGCCTCACACCTCTGCACGCACACACGTTCAATGATTTCTTCTAGTCTCATGATTTTAAATACCTTACACATGCAGCGTGTCCCAGGGGCCTGACCTTACCTTGAATCTGTGTTCACCAAGTAACTGCCTTCATGTCCAACAGGCAGCATGTCCGAAATGAAACATTCGAATGTTAATCCTATGTCCCTCTCCTCAATTATCTCGTTATGGCAGAGTCCCAGCATCACAGAAGCTCCTGGTTGACCAGGGAGTGTGTGTGTGTGTGTGTGTGTGTGTGTGTGTGTGCATGGGGAGGGAGTGTAATGGAAGACATGTGTCGTCTTTATATTCCTTACTCATTCCATGGGCCTATCATGAAGATATGGTCTCATCTTCAAAACGTATTCAGAATATGACCAAGTCTCACAACCCTCCGCATGACCACTCAAGCCCAAGACCAGCCTCTCTCTCTCTCTCTTTCTCTCTCTCTCTCTCTCTCTCTCTCTCTCTCTCTCTCTCTCTCTCTCTCTCTCTCTCGGCCCTATTTGCTCCCAGCTGGCTTCCTTCTTCCACTCTTGTACACTCCCAGGGCTGCCCCTCCAGGGGCTGGTGGGAACCCTTTGAATGATCTTGCAGCACACCATCTCCTGCTGTTCAACTTCCTCCCATCACATCCTCACTCCAAGGCTTGCAAGCCTTCATGGGCTCAGCCCTCTGTGTCTTTTGGTTTCCGTCTCACATCATGCTGCCTCCCTGTGCTCTCGCGGTGGGCCAAGCACACCATGTGCAGTCTCGGGATCTTTACATCATCAATGCTTCCTTGCACCGGGCCACTCACGCACACAGGACTCCCTCCCTCAGAGCCGACCCCACCCAGCACCTCCCAGTAAGTAGCTCTGCCACTCTTACTCCCTGCCTTTCTTCTTGTGACATCCAGCTAAGTACATGGCTATGCATTTGTCAGTCTTTCCCTGACAGGATTTGCTGCGTGGGCCTCAGCATCCCCAGTGCCTAGGCCAGCATCCCTTAATTAAACAGAAGCCTCCGTTCTACTCGTCTAGTTTCTTGACTTAACCACAGCATGAGCCAACACATAATTAAGGCTTCATTTGGTGACTAGCGTTTGGCTTTTACAGTTTCTGAAGTGGTCTCTGGGTGGTAGCTGTGTAGGTGCATGCAATAAAATTCTATCAAGCTGTATAGTTAAGATTCGTGTTATTTTTAAGTTGCGCCTCCACTAAGAGCTTTTATTTATTTATTTTCCTTTTAAGGTGATTTCTAACACAGCAATAGCAGTAACTGAGATTTGTGATGTCTCTGTGGTGGCTAACCCTCTCGGAGCCACCTGCCCCCACTTGGGAGCTCACCACTGGGGTCCAGGATGAACGGCCTCCCACCCCCGCTCGCACTGAGCACGCTGTGGAGCTATCAGCCTCGGCGTGAGACGGAGTAAGGCAGGGCCTCCTTCAGAGGAGCCCGGAGCAGGCCAGGGCAACAGAGGAACCCCGGCTGAGCCTCGTGCCCACCTAGCAGGTGCAGGCGGACTGCCGGAGCGCGTCACAAAGCCCGGCCCGGCGCGCACGCGCGGCACAGCTCGGCGGCGCAGGCGCACGGCGGGGGAAGCGCGCCATGGAGCAGCGGCTGGCGGAGTTCCGGGAGTCCCGGAGACGAGCCGGGCTGGCGGCCGAGCCCAGCACCCCGAGCCGGAGCGCGGGGACCTCGGAGGCAGCTGAGACTCCCCAGGCAGCCCCGGGCTGGCTGACGCGGCTCCTGGGGTGGAAGCCGCGGGCTGCGCGCGCCCCAGGGCAGCCCGGCCTGGCTCAGGTGAGAGGACAGAGGCCTCGTTCTCCCGGAACCGGCGCCTTCCCCGGACGGACGGACGCACCCGGCGGCCGACGCTCCGCCCTGGAGCCCTGCACGTGACGGGCTCGGCCTGCCCCTTGGAGAGGTGCCCGGCGGCCGGGGGCAGCCCTGATGGGTCCCTGGAGTTGCAGACTGCGCGTGGCTTTGGGAGGAGACTTCACAGCCCAGTTGGGGCCAGCTCGCTGCCAGTGGAGGGCGAAGGGTTAGAAATGGGGGGGACAGGGGGTAGAATACACAGGTCCCCAAAGTGTGCTGCTGTCCTCTGCTGTTGTGCCCATGGTGAAGACTGGATTAGAGGACAGACACAGATGCCTCTGGCCATGTTTTATCAGATGTAAAGGAATTTAATTTGTAAAAAAAAGATTCATTTTTATTGGAAAGGCAGTTTTATAGAGAGAAGAGACAGAAAGACCTTCCATCCACTGATTAATTCTCCAAATGATGGCAACAGCTGGAGCTGAGCCGATCCGAAGCCAGGAGCTTCTTCCTGCGGGTCTCCCACGTGGGTGCAGGGTCCCAAGGCTTTGGGCCGTTCTCTACTGCTTTCCCAGGCCACAAGCTGGATGGGAAGTGGAGTAGCCAGGACACAAAGAAGCACCTGTGTGGGATACTGGCTCTTGCAAGGAGGAAGATTAGCCAATTGAACCATCACACTGGGCCTGTGATGGAATTTAATTTTGCTATCTGAGCCTTCATTTTAGTTTTCACTAGCAATAAAGAAAAAGAAGAAAGAAAGAAAAAGACAGTGGGACCTAAAACTGTCTAGTTGGCATGTGTAGGAAAACATGTCAAAGGAGAAATGACTGTCATGTCCAGAAAGTGTGATAAGAACCAAAAAGTTCTGAAAAGCTAAAGTGGGGCTAGGCCTCTGGCCTCGTGGTAAGCACGCTGGTTGGGCTGCTGGGGTCCCCTGGGGAGGGTCTGGGCTCCAGCTTCCTGCAGAGGGCCACAGACCCTGCGAGGAAGTTAGGTTCTTGCCTCTGCCATGGGATTTCTGGGGTGAGTTCACAGCTCCCCAGTCCTGCCATTGAAAGAGTGATTCAGTGGATGGCAGCTCGGTCCTATCTGCTTATCTGAAAAAAACAAAGTGCTGGAGCAGAAGCACCTTGCCCCACCTAAATGCACTTTCCTTGAGTTCCTGTCTCATTGCTCAGTCTCTGATTTGAGGGAAGCCTTGCTGACCGAGGACTGACTGCTGCTTGGAGGAATAGCCAACCAGCAGACTTCCCTCCCTGAACACCCCACAGCTGCTGGCCTGACCAAAGGGAGGGCACAGATGCACAGGTTCCCGGGGGGGGCCTAGCGATTGCTGTGTGTTCCCAGGCAGCGCCACCTGGGCTCATGGCCCTCCACTCATTCCTGGGTTTGCTTCAGTGTAAACATTCTCATTAAAAGAGGCTTTTGTCAGTTATAATGCACATCTATATGATCCTTTTTTGTGTGTGATTTTTGAATTTCTATGAAATGTAGAGTCACAGAAGGAGAGACAGAGATCTTCCATCTATTGGGGTCTCCTCTCCAAATGGGCACAAGAGGCCAGGGCTGGGTCAGGAAGATGGAACTCCGTCAGGTCTCCCCTGTGGGCAGCAAGGGTCCACTGCCTGCCCAGGCGCAGCAGCAGGGAGCTGGGTTGGAAGTGGAGCAGGTGGGACCCAAGCCGGTACTCATAGGGGATGCTTGCATCGCTGTAGGCAATGTCTTACTGTGCCACAACACCCATCCTTCCCTGATGAGCGATCTCTTTAGCGTTCTGGTTGGAGTTGCTGCTTTTCTGGATTCACTGATAACGGTCTCTCCAGGTGAAATGTTTGTACTTACCCCCTCCCTGCTTCTAGAAGCTGTCTCCTTCTCTCTTAGTATCATTCATTCAATAAAAACCCTGCAGCGTCCACCATGTCCCAGTAACTACCGCTAAAGATCCCAGGGATTGCATGGTTAAGACGCAGAGCCCTCCTGTCCTAGAATTTGCATTTCAGTGTTTGGGGTGGCAGAAGGAGAACCGAACAGCGGGTGGTAGACACTAGGAAGGGCACTGTGGTGGTGAGTTGGGGTGAGGGGCACAAAGCACTCTTCATTTTGGGTGAGCAGGGAGGGGTCTCCCAGTGGCCTGAGGGACAAGGCCCAAGGCGCCTGCGGTGACATTTTTTTGCTGAGGTTTGTGGAAGAGCCTGCCAGAGGCACCAGGGCTGGGAGGGTGGGAAGCAGCTTGGTTACTTGTGGAAGAGAAATGCCTTTTCCCCAAACCGAGCCTGTACGAGGGGACTTCTGCAAGTCGGTGGGAAAGAGACGTGCATCATGAAAACGCACGTGGCAGTGGTGGTTTTGTTTGTTTCTGCACCAAAATAGCGTTCAGTGTCACATTCCACAAACAGCTACAGATGCTGCTTTCATGGCCCAAGGCTAACCGAGTGTAGAGCCAGTTTCAGATGAGCCAGGGGCGTTTCTGTACCCTTGTCTGCTCCCTATGCCACTTTGTGCACCAGTCTCCTGCTAAGTCCACAACCCTTCTCCTGACCACCCCCAGCCCCATCGCCATAAAGACCCCCAAGAGGAGCCTTGGAGGGAGCCCATCCCAGGAGCTTACACCTGGCTCCGCCCTGCCTGTCTGCAGCTGTGTGACTTTAGGGGCATGGTCCAGCCTGGTCAGTGCTGCAACAGTAGTCCTGTCTGCCTCCCAGATCACAGGAGATGACGAAAATAATGGCTTATGAGCACTGTTGGGCTGGTTAGGGGCGGGATGGGAGGAGAACCCATGTGCGCCTTGGGGCTGAGCCCTGGAAGAGCGATCACGCCGTGGCGATCACGGCATGGCGAGCCTGGCGCCGTGGCCTCACTTGTGCTTGTTTGTGTATCCCAGGTTGCCGCTGCCACTGCTGCTGTGGCTGAGCCCCAGAGGGACACGGCCAGCCCCACACCTCTGCCTCAACCCTGGGACCACTCTCTGCTGACCAACATCACCTTCTTGAAGGTTCTCCTCTGGCTAGTCTTGCTGGGACTGTTCGTGGAACTGGAGTTCGGCCTGGTGTACTTTGTCCTGTCCCTGTTCTACTGGATGTACGTGGGGACCCGAGGCCCGGAAGAGAGGCGAGAGGGGGAGAAGAGTGCCTACTCGGTGTTTAACCCAGGCTGTGAGGCCATCCAGGGCACGCTGACCGCGGAGCAGCTGGAGCGCGATTTGCAGCTGAGACCCTCCGTGGGCAGTTAGCACGCGGCTCCACGTGGTCTTCGGAGGCCGCAGCATGGACGGCCCAGAGCGAGGACAGTGTGCAGTCAATGTGAGATGACTCAGGTGTGCACGCTGTCCCCACCTGCCACTGCTTACCTTCAACTTCTCTTGACCTTCGATGAAACTCTGAAAAGACATTCAGTGGGTCCAACACAGTTTATAAAAATTACGTCCTTGAGGAGAGGGCCCCTGGTTGTGTCGTCATTGAACACAGGACTTTTTAAGCACCACAGAGACGTTAGCAGGGATGGTGGGCTAGGTTCTTGGCACAAGGGAGAGTTCAGATGTGAGACCGAGAGAGCAGCGGTCATCGAGAGAGCAAGGCTGAATAAGGCCAGGCATCCATCGAGACAGATGGGTGCATCTTAGGGCAAACCGTGAGAGCCCAGTCCCTCAGCAAAGTGACATGATGGGATGGTCGGAAGGTCCCTGGCAGGCTGGGCGCACGGCTCAGAAAGGAGCTGAGCCAGTGGGCTAGACTCGGATGGCGCTTATAAGGGGATGGGGCTCTGCTCCATGACAAGGGGTTCACTGAGTGTGAGCTGGGATAACGTCCCCTCCTCCTGCAAGGGACTGCTGAGGCCATCAGCCTAGGTAGCCCGGTCAGCCACATAGGGCCTTCCATGGGGAAGGCTGTGAGCGTGTGACTTCCCGATGTCAGGCTGGGTAGAGGATTCTCCTGGGGAGTCTCTGAGGGGGCAGAAGGGGTGCTATGCCATTGTCTGGGCAGCACATTGCGGTGTGAAGTACCAGGCTGCTTCCAAGTCAAGCCTCTGAGCTGCTGGTACTTGGCTTTCCTTAGGCCACTCTGTCACACAGAAGAATCACTAGCTTCCTGCCTAGCAGAGATATTAAAGTGATATTAAGGGATTGTCTGTTTAAAATAGGAAGCTGTTTCAAATGATGCTTAGATGCATTAGAACTGTCACTTAACCATAGTTGTTCCCTTTAAATCCCCTGTCCCCAAAAGTGCAAGTTGCAAGGGTTTTGTGGCGGGAGATGGCGTGGGATGGGTTGGAGGGAGGAATGAAGCAGGTTTGGTTTTTTGTTAGGCTTCCTGCTTCAGTTTTTGCTTTTCTAGTCACCAATGCTGCCAAAAAACAAACAAAAACAACCTCTCAATTGTCTCCTTTGCAGAAGCAGGTTCCCGACACTGTCTTCCATTCTCCACTCAGTAAAGGAAGCTAAGAATTCAGACACGAAGTCCTGGGCGCCAGGGGCGGGGAGGGGCTGCACAGTGTCAGCAGGGACGCCGCACCTGGTGTTCAGCAGAGATTGAGCAGGGAAGATTCGGATGAGGGTAGGAGAGCTGGGAATGGAACTGGCTACCCTCTGGGGGCCCTAAAGAAAGCAGTGCCTTCATCTGTACCCCCTCCTCTCCCCCCAAGGCCCTAACACCCCCCCAACACACACACACACACACACACACACACACACACACAGCCCACCAGGAAGGATGAGGTAGGCAGTGAAGGATGGTGTCGGGTACGATGGCCAGGCCTGAGTTCAGTCCTACATCGTGCAAAAACGGCTTGAGAGTTGAGGTTCATGAATCATGAAGTACCTGTTTCTGTAGATTAGTAACTGCTCTAGTTTTAGAGCAGTTGTTTTTTTTCCAAAGATTTCAAGAAATGATTCCTTCATGAAATTTTCAACTTCAGAGTTAATTCTTGGGGTATGCAAAAAACTTTAATGTTTATGAAACATTGCTAAGTCACGGAGGTCTATGGTGGGCCAGCATGGCATAGCAAGTTAAGCTGCTGTCTGTGTTCTAGTAGCCCATATGGGTGCCAGTTCTATCCAGGGACTCTACTGCCCATCCAGCTCCCTGCTAATGGCCTGGGAAAGCAATGGAGGACAACCCAAGTGCTTGGGCCTCTGCACTCATGTGGGAGACCAGATGCAATTCCAGGCCTTTGTCTGTGTACTGGCTCAGCCCCAGCCTTTGCAGCCATCTGGAGAGTGGACCAGTGGGTGGGAGATTTTCTTTCTAACTCTGCTTTTCAATTAGATTGTTTTTAAAGTTCGTTTTCTTTTTATTTCTTTAAAACACACACACATGCATAGAGCATTCTCTCATCTGCTGGTTCACTTTCCAAAAGACTGCAGTGGCTGAGGGAGAGTCATGCCCTGAACTGGGAACCCAGAACTCCAGCTGGCTTTCTTATGGGAGTGGCAGGGACCCAAAGACTTGAGCTGCCACCTGCTGCCCCCCAGGGTTGCATAACAAACAGCTGGAATTGGAAGCAGAGTCAGGACTTGAGCCATGGCAGCCTGGTATGAGATGTGGCCATAGCAATTGGTATTCAAATGCACACCCCATGTTAAGTGTAACTTTGATTAAATGATGAGATACGATCATACAGAAAGTTCTCGAAGCGTAGAGCCCAGCTGGGAGTGGGGTGAGAGGGGACAGAACAGAATACAGACTTACAGAGAGCTAATACGTGTTTTGTTTGGGAAGAGTGGAGAGGATGTTCCTGTTGATTCCAGCTTGTGGTCACCAGCCTCACTGCACTTCAGCCCTTACTGGACAGCCTCTGCTGATCGGGAGTGTGTCCCTGGGGTCATCCAGTCGGGCAGCAATGTGTTCCTGTGTCTTCGGTCTGCACTGGATGGAACCCCAAGAAAGCTTACGAATTCGTACCAAACCTGAAACGCTGGACTGCATTAAAGGTAAGCTTTAATTTTCCGGTCTGTCCGCTTAAAGTGTTCTTCACTTCCCTGACATTTTCCCATTTTCTAAAAGCTCAGTACGAGGGAAAATCTCACCGCAGGGCTATTAGCAGCATTGTACTGAAGCATCAGTTTGCATTCTTAAAATGTGTATTCCAAGGAACAGGCTCACACTGAATGGAATGCCCACTTCCCAAATCCTACTTTGGTTGTTGCCTGCAGTCACTTCTCCCTGCTTAGGGCAGGGTCAAGTTTATTGCTGACAATTTCTGGTGGTTTTGTTTCTAAGGCAGATCCCTCAAGAATTTGGGTGCAAGAGTCAGGGACTTCTAGAAAGTTCTTCAGGTTTAATGAAAAGATGTTTGCCACCACTACCCAACCCTGCCCCCACACCTAGCGTCCTGAGTTGTGATTCTGATCCTCAAGGGCTTGGAGGCCCTGTCTCTTTTTTTTTTTTTATCCTCCTCCTCTTCTCCTCCTTTTCTTCTTTTTAAGATTTATTTATTTTTCTTGGAAAGAGAGAAAGATCCTCTATCTGCTGGCTCACTGCCCAAGTGGCTGCAACAGCAGGAGCTGAGCAGATCTGAAGCCAGGATCCAGGAGCCTCTTCTGGGCTTCCCACATGGATACAAGGTACAGGGACCCCACTGCTTTCCCAGGCCACAGGCAGGGAGCCAAATGGAAAGTGGAACATCTGGGACCTGAACTGCTGCCCGTAGGGATCCCGGCACATGCAAGACAAGAGCCTCAGCCACTAGACTGCCACATCAGGCCCGAGACCCTGTCACTTTGAAGCTAGCCTTGGCGCAGGCTGGGGTGAGTGGCACCCCTTCAATGGGTGCAGTAGTGATGGAGGTGGACAGATTGTATGTTCCCACACCTTCCTTCTGGCTGCTGTGCATCCTACCATGAGACCACCGCAGCTGCAAGAATCCAGTGATGATTCACACACTTTGACAGCTGCACTTGCATCGGGTGCTGCTGGGGCCTGGCGCCAAGCAGCTTCCTAAGGAGTCTGAGAGCAGGTTGCACCCAGGCCAGGGCAGGGAGGCCAAGAAGGATCTCACCACCAGGGGGTAGCATAGAGCTACCGCTGCACTGCGTGGGTCCCAGCAGGTCACACTGGCTAATTTAAGCCCTGTGGAGAAATCTCCAGGCTGTTTATCCGAACCTCTGATGTTGCTTTTCCAGGCGTTTTTCAAGCTAAAATTCGCAGAGGAAAGGGGTGTATAAGATGTCCTGGGAAAGGCAAAGAAAGTTCCCCTAAAGTGATTTATGAGCCTGTTCACGCTTTAAACACCCGCCCCTCCCTCGACCTGGGGAGTAACACAGCTGCTTGACCACGTGTGAGCTCTTGGGGGCAAGGAGGTGGTGAGGGTTTGGGACTTAGAGCTGGCAAAGAAAAGCAAGATCCCTGAGCCAAATAAAGTAAAATCGAAGCCTCACGTCTACTTTGATTTTGCAACGTAGGATGTGAAACCTCGGATCTCACAGCTGGGCGAGCAGAAAGGTGCCGAGTGCGAGAGCAGGTGTGTGCCTTGAGTCTGAGTTAGTTCTTGTGTTACAGACCTCCCCTGAAGGCTCCGAGGGCACGGGGAAGCTGAGCGTGGTGGGCGGGCCACTCACATGGAGTTGTGAATGTGTACCAGGCAGCGTCTCCTGCGTGAAAAAAAAAATCACTGTTTCTTAGGCAAGTCCTCTCCGGGCGTGGTGAGGCCCGCTGGCCACAGAGTGCTCTCCAAGGGCAGAGCTGACATGCAGGCTCCTGGGCTGCCTGTCCGCAGACCCAGTGGTGTCAGACAGGAGCCTCCCTGGGTGATCCCCAACACACTGAGCCACGCGTGTCCCAGTGGGAAAAACACGGCGACAGCCGGAGCCAAGCAGAGGAAGGTAGGGGGGTGTGTGTGTGTGCGTGCGCACGCGCGCACGCTGGCGCATACAAAGGGGGCAGCAGGCTTGGTCACTTTTCAAACTTCATTTGGAACCCCCAAAATGAGGCACGAGGGAGCTTTGTAACACAAGAACTAAGAGACTCGCAGGAGAAGCTTTCCTTTACAGTGTTTACATTAAAAAAATAATAATGAAACTAAGGAAAAAAAGTACGCAAATAGCCCAATCTAACGACACACACACAAACTCAGAGAACGGCATTTACTGAAAGAAACACGCTTGGCAGTTTGGTGGCATTCTGGAAAGACAGAATAAAGTATTTCGGTGTTGTGCTGACACTCATTTATTCCAGAAATCAAGAGGGATGAGGGAGTGTATGCAATGAGACTGCCCCCTCCCACTCTGCCGTATTTGCCCTTTTTTAGCGCCCTAAATGATAGTATCCTGTTGCTATCCAGCCCCTCCAACTCTCTTTTTTTCAGTTTCAGGAATTTAGGTTTTAGTTGTGGACATTGGAAAGTTTTATAAAAGGGAATAACATGACCCCATATTCATTAAAAAATAATCACCCATGGGGGTGGATTTTCTCATCACTCCTCGCCCACCTGCCCCTTTACAGAGTGCCTACCCCAGGAGGCTTTGTGCAGGTGACACTGCTCTCCGAGGAAGCCAACAGGGGAGGAAGAGGGTCATCAGCTGGGAACCGTTCAGTGGACGACTCCGAGTATGGCCCCCAAGTGAGGGCCAGAGCCCAAGGAAGGACCATCAATAACTACAGCATCAGGACGCCTTCCCGAAGGCAGCGATGGAATGCTGAACTCCCCAGACAGGCAGGTGAGGGCAAGACCAGTCAGAGGAACCCACCGGGAGGAAAGATGATGTTTATGACAACAAAGTGACGTGTGATTGAGGACCTGGACGTTAAGGGACACACGGACCTGGTGAGAGGTGTTCCAGAAAGTAACATGTCTGTACAAGGAGAGCTGCTGCCTCCTTTTTTTTTTTAAGATTTTATTTATTTATTGGAAAGTCAGATATACAGAGAGGAGGAGAGACAGAGCAAGATCTTCCGTCCAATGATTCACTCCCCAAGTGACCGCAACAGCCGATGCTATGCCAATCCGAAGCCAGGATCCAGGAACTTCTTCCGGGTCTCCCGTGCAGGTGCAGGGTCCCAAGGCTTTGGGCTGTCCTCAACTGCCTTCCCAGGCCACAAGCAGGGAGCTGGATGGAAAGTAGAGCTGCTGGGATTAGAACCAGCGCCCATGTGGGATCCTGGAGTGTGCAAGGTGAGGACTTTAGCCGCTAGGCCACGCCA